CACCCTAATACCTGTCTCTGGGTTTGTTTTTATTAGTAAGACCTTTTAAGATTCGTGTTGCACCTGGGTCTCCTCCCCGGGACACACATACACCAAGTGTTTACAAGGATGAAAGGTGAAGCAGGCTTGACTGCACAGGAAACAGTAAGAAACTACATTTCAGTGGCCCCAAGTCACACTCCTGCTTTCCCCCAATCCTCTTCTACCCATGGGCAGAGAATTTCTACCAAGGAAGAGGAATTGCACCTAAAACATTTTTGGTTGGCTGGTCAAATCAAGTATGACTTTTTTTTCCCCCAGACTGGTGCTGAGGCTCGGTAGAATTTCTAGGTAAGGAAATGCTAGGCAGAACCTCCCCGATCAAGGTTCAATGCTGATAAGGGTAAAAAGAAACCAGGGTTGGCTCCTGGTTCCAAGGGACAGAAACTCAGACTTTTCTAAGGAAAGCAGAGAAATTACCAGGGTATTCATTGTCCAAACTCAAAGAAAACAAAATAAAAAACCAGACAATCCGGAGAGCCAGCAGGAAACAAGGCGGATTCAAGGTCCAGTGACTTAGGTTCGGGATCTCTTTCATGTGCCCATCCTTGTGTGTCCGGTCTTCTAAGGTCCGCTCTGTTCTTGTCATTGAGGATTCCACCCAGGGCCTTGCACATGCCAGGCCAGCACGCATCGCTGAGGGACACCAGCCACACCTTATGTTGTTGTTAGTCAAAATGCTTGCAGGGAGCCAGTCTGATTCACTTGCATAATTATTAGCAAACTTGCTCAGCTGAGCCCTTCCTTATACTAGAGTGTATCAGAGGTCACAAGCAGTGTGAAGAGGTGGCATCAATATGGCCAGTATCATCATAATACTCTGGATCCAGTCAGGACACAGAAAACACACTTCAATAAGGAAGGTTTGATGCAAGGAATGATTAACCAGTAAGGAGAGTATGAATTCCTAAGGATAAAGATATCTACAAAATAGAGAAATGGTGCATATAGAAAAACAATGAAACGTTTAGGGATGAGGCAGAGATTCCAAGGAAGGAAAAAAATGGTACCCGTGCAAGCCTGCGAATCACCGTTGGAGAGGATATAACTGTGGCCCTGTTTGCTGAGATGTTGACAGCTGGAGCAGGAGAACTGGAGTGTCAAAGGTAGCTAGACCATGGGGTCCTAGTGCAGAGGGGACATGGACACAAGCTCCCACACCCAACGAAGAAACTGTCTCCAACCAACAACTGTTTGCAAAGGAAAGATCAGTTTTCTTCAGTGGAGTTTCACCGGGTATATAAACCACACTGAAGGGAGGGGGCTGTGCCCAGCAGTAGATGGCCAATACAAAACAAACTCAATGCAGGTTATTTTGTCTCCTATTGCTTTGTTTGTGCATAAAAAAAAAAAAAAAAAAAAAAAAAAAAAAAAAAAAAAAAAAAAAAAAAAAAAAACAAAGAAAAACTTCCACGCAACCTAAGTCAGAAGCTCATTTTTTAGTAAAAGGGGGACCTGTAGGGCCCTGGCCCCTGTTTTGGGTAACTGTTGCCTTGCTTGCTGACTTTGACCTTGATATCCTTCCTATGCTAATTCCCTGCCAGGTTCCACCCTCCTGAATGCTTAAGGGAAGTTCCTTGTCTGTGTATCCTGCATAATGGGCATTAACAGCTTAGATGCAAGATTATAACATTGGTAGCGAACTTCTGCCCTCTGGGGTTCTCCCATTGTGCTGTAAGTCTGTATTTAAGACCTCCTCCCTCCTTCAATAAACAGCATTTGGCATTAAATATATATATATAAAAAATCTTACTGGTCTTTTGCTTGTGTATTATGGCTTCCAATTCTGTGTCTTTATGTTTTGTTCCCTGTGTGTTTGTGTGTGTGTGTGTGTGTGTCTTCCTTGCCTGTTTAATATGAGAGAAAGAAGCCAGGCAGTGGTGGCGCACGCCTTTAATCCCAGCACTCGGGAGGCAGAGCCAAGTGGATCTCTGTGAGTTTGAGGCCAGCCTGGGCTACCAAGTGAGTTCCAGGAAAGGCGCAAAGCTATACAGAGAAACTGTCTGGGGGGGGGGGGGGGGGGAGAAGGCATGGAGTTGGATGGGTGGGGAGAACATGGGAGATGAGGGAGGGGAAACCATGATCAGAATATATTGTATGAATTTTCAATTAAAAATATGCACATTACAAAATAGCTAAGATTTGAGGTGTCTTAGGAACGAAGAAATAGAAAACCCCATCCTTTCATGATGTATTAAAATGTCACACTGGGTTACCCCTCCCCCACAAAAGTTAGGCCACCCTACACTGGAGTACTGTTGAAACTCATGGGGAAGTTGTCTGGTGGAACAAAGCTTGCTGGGGTTCCTATGGAATTGCTGGAAACTCTGCTCACTTCCTTGAGAAGCCACTGCAATTTGATGGCCAAGTCCCTGGGGTGTCCTAAAGCTAAGCCCCTACACAGTGCAGTTACTACTAGGAACCAGGTCCTCACTTCTGCAGTGTCCCTCCAGTATCCCTATGACAGCTGGGAGAGAACAATGTGTGGAATGGCCAGCTCCAGATAGATCACAAGGAAGGGCTGGGAAGGCTGGATTTGGAGCCAACACAGAAAACGAGATATACATAAACCAGCAGAGGTTCCCACACACAGCTTGACAAAACTTGGCATGGAAGGGGATGGGGGTGGCCGGATAAGAGTGTCTGGGGAAAATGTTCAGAACAGTAGTAAGACTGGCTGCCTTACTGGGAACGCTGGGTTATCTAGGAACTGGTGATGCCAAGGTAGAGGGGATCAGAGGAGAGGACTGCTCTTTCATCAGCTTAACAAGCATCATTCACTTTTACATCCTGTTTAGGCTGTTAGGGTGACCATGAAGAGGCTAGAGATGGCTCAGTGGCTGAGTGTATAGTGTGCTTCTGGCCTGCTTCCTAACTCCAGCTCCAGGGGGTGGGACCTCTCTGGTCTCAAAGGGCACCTGCAATTACCCCCCCACCCCACACACACAATAAATAATAAATCTTTAAAAAAAAAATGAGGACTGGTGGGCTACACTTGAAAATCAAAACTACCAGTTTTCTTAGGAATTTTAATCAAGACAAGACTGTGGCAGCTGTTTGCCTTGAACAAGCCTAACTGGAAACAGCGCTCACTCAGCACATTTCACTTGTGCACCACACTGTGTACCAGGAGGCACGCCCTCCTGAGTAGACTGGATTTGAAGTTAGCTGCAACAAACACTGTTGTGTTCATGTTATTCCTTCTAGTAACAAGTAATGTCACTTCAGAGGTATTTGAAAATCCTATAGGATCTTATAGGAAGGAATGACAAGATGCTTTCAAAGGGAGCCAAGACTTATAAGACGTGTTTCCTCGTGAATAGATCTAGTTAAAAGGTTCAACCACTAAAGCCGAGGATGCAGCAGTCATACAATCTGTGCTTAGTGTGTGCTAGGCATTGCACTGGATCCCCAGAATGGGGGTGGGCAGACAAAACCACCATAAAGCAACAGAGAGCCTCAATCATAAAGATTACTGAGCAGCATAAATACTAATGTTTTATACTAAAATTTAAGAACAATACACTGAGTCATCTACAAGACCTAACAAAGACATAAAGCAGATGCAAAGAGAACATGGAAGATTTCTAAGTTCACAGAAAATGACAAAGGATGCTTATACTATTTTTTTTCCTTTGCTTTTTCAAGACATTACTGGCTGTTCTGGAACTTGCTCTATCGAGTAGGCTGGCCTCCTCTGCCTCTCCGTGCTGGGATTAAAGGCCTGTGCCTTTCTTTATGCCCAGCTCTATTAGGCTCTATTAAAGCACTCTTCCAACTTCCCCAGGTCCCAAGAAATGATTAATGAATCTTCTAGAGCCAACTTATCTCCCTAGTCATAGGAAGTCACTGTCCAAGTAAAGCAGGTATCCATGTGACAATGGGATTACATGTCCTCAACCTACCAAAGGCATCCTTTGAAAACATTTCCTGAGACTCAGCTGTTGAGTACTTTCATCTCATTTTAAGGCACTCTAAAAGCTTTCCCCCTTCTGCCTACAATACACCAACACATACTTCAAATATAGTAGTGTCTTAATTAAGGTATGCCCAAAAGCTGGGACACAGCTCAGCAAGAGAGCACTTGCCTACCAGGTAGCCCAGGGTTAGACTCCCCATCACTGCAAAATAAAACAAATTCAATTCAATGTAATCCTGACCTATTACTCAATACTCTTCCAATCTCCTTCAAAAATTTTTTTGGGAAGTAACAGCATACATGTGGTCAGAAGACTTGCAGGTTTCTGAAGGTCACTCAGGTTGTCAAGGCTTGGCAGCATCCACGGAACTACCTTGCTGACCCTTTTATTTCCAGTTGCTTAACTTGAAACAGTACTAGATTTTTTTGTAGTAGAGCATTTCCTTCCTTTAATGTGATTTTTTTCCCCCTTAAAATAGTTGGTACTAATGTCTCCTGCTCCACTGAACACTTGTAAGATAACTTCTGAGTGCTCTTCAATTGGCCAATATTAGCCAGTGGGTTAAGACAATCCGTAACAGAAGGCCATTATGCTGCAACCAACATTCTCTTTTGATCTCTATTTTCTGTTCTAAAAAAGACCTTAGAAATTTTCAGAACATACTTGGTGTTAATACAATCCAAGTATGTCAACAATCACCTTTGATGTGGACAAAGTGAAAAAGCCACTGACACATACCCCCCCTCCCCATCCCAATAAACCCTGCCATTAAGAATTCTAGCAAGCAATCTACAAGGATTAAAAAAGTGTACAGGCGCACACGTGCACACGAGATGGTGTTGAAGTCAGAGGGCTCTCCTTCCTTCCCAGGATGAACTCAGGTCTGGCTTGGTGGCAAGCACCTTTACAGGCTGAGCAATGCATGGTTTTAAGTCACTTTTGCTCAAGATATCCTCTACACAAAACTGCAGACATTTTACCAGTTTCCACAATATTTTTTCTTAAATGTTAACAAATAGGGGGGGAAGCCAACACCCAGGATAAAGGATTTAATCCAGTATTTATTCCATACTCATGATGGTTTTCTGAAATCAGAATACAAGTCATAAGAACAATCTATCAAATAATTTGCTGATAGTCTTAAATAACGCAGCACTGCATTAGTTAATACTTCTGTCCTAGATTAAGTTTAAAAACTCAAACAGCAGTCTTCATTATCAATAAAAAAAGTTTTGAATTTTTAAAAAAGGATACTCTATCAAGCTGTTTCATAATTTAAGTATTCTCCATTTATAAAAATGCTTTGGAAGCTTGAGGCTTGAATGCTTCTTTCCTCATGTGCCCGCCCTCTCCCATCACTGGTCAGTATAGGGTTGCTGCAATGCCAGGCTTTACACATTTTTTTTTAATATAGTACTTTTAAAATCTGAGAAAGAATTCAAGGAGGGAAAAAGCACATGTCAATGTAGTTTAAAAAAAAAAACTAAGTGAATAAATTTTAGGCATACTAACAGTGTCCCTTTGAGGTAGAATGCTAAAAGGACTTTTGATCAAATCACAGCCTAATTTAAACCTCTCATAAATTTTCTAACATTAACTGTGGAGAATATTAAGTATAACATATTAACAAGAGCTTCCAAGGTAATATACAGTGGACAAGAATGTTAACCCTACAACTGTTGCCTTCATGTATATTGAAAGCACATAATTCTCATAAAACAAACATCCAAGATCCATTCCCAAAGTCTTTAGCATTCTATTATGAAAAGCACAGCCATGCTAACTTCAGTACACAACCATAATCCCACACCTACCAAACAAAAATAGAATTAGTGGCAGTTTATTGCCTTATACAAATTTAACCAACATGGCAACCATGCCAAAGGAATTAAAACATTTTCAGGACATATGTACAGACTGTACACTTTAAAAACAAACAAAAATGCAAGAACAATCTGTGCATCAGGTGTCAACTCAACCGGGTGAAAACATCAATGCAATAAATGGGATTACAAAGGCACTTCCCTACACAAAAGAAATGAAAACACAGCCTACAGGGAGCTCAAAGAGTGCATAACTACTGCACAATCTCAACTTGGGGGAGAAAAGCAGAATTTAATCAACATTTATAGGATTCAATGTGATCCAATTTTACAAAATCTTCACACAGTCTCATCTTTGTTTTTGTGTTCTTTCTCTTGGCTCTCTGGCTCTCCACTCTGGCTCCTCTGGTTATCCTGTCTGTCTGACTGGTCCTTGCCGTCCCCATGCTCTCTCTTGTGGGAGCGGTCTTGGCTTCTGCTGCGCTTTCTAGACTTCTCTTTGCTAGGGCTGTGTTCTCGTTTTCTCAGCTTTTCCACACTGCCAGTTCTTCCCTGACTGCCACTTCTACTTCTCTTGTTGGACTTCTCTTTGCTTTCGTTTTTATGTTTGCTCGACTTGTCTTTGCTCCTGCTCCTGCTCCGCTTCCCTGCATTTCTGCTTCTGCTTCTACTTCTATGTTTCCTCTCCCTGCTTCGACTTCGGCTGTGTTTCTTCTTGGAATCCTTCTTGTTGTCTCTGTGTCGCCTGTCCTCCTTGTCTTCTTTGTGCTTCTTCTCCTCCCCCTCCCCCCTACTCCTCTGCTCCTTGGACCGCTCTCTGGACCTCTCCCTGTCCCTTTCTCGATCAGCACCTCTCTCCTTATCGTACTCTCGATCTCGCCTCCGACCTCTCTCATTTTCTTTCTCTCTTTCCCGATCCCTGTCTCTTCTATCCCCTTTCCTATCACGACTCCGACTGCGAGTTCTGTGCCTTTCCCTGCTCCGGCTGTGCCTGCGTTCTAACCCCCGGTCGATACTTCGCGATCTTCGCCTCTCCTTCTCTCTCTCTTTGGCTTCCCGCTCTAGTCGCTGGCGTTCTTTCTCTCTCTCTAATTCTCTGTCGAAACTAGAAGATCCATGGCCCTCCCGGTGATGACTTCTACTTCTTGATCTTCTTGGAGACCTCCGTGGACTCAGTGATCTCCTTGGAGACCTGAGAGAAGAGGAAAGGAAGAAACTGGAATAAATAAAACACAAGAAGGGCCAGGGTACTTGTAGCTCAGTAGAACACTTGCCTGGCACACTCTCAGGCCATTGGGACTGACAGTCAATACCAAACACTCCCTAGTACTCTGCACACACGAACCAACCAAATCTGCTCTAAAAACTCTGGATAGGTGTAGCTTGTGGCAGAGTGCTTGCTTAGCATGTACGCGTATGTCAATGCTCAGCACCAAAGGGGCACAAAAAATAACTCAACTGTTCTCACTAGAGATGCACAATTTTACTAAAAATGTGGTGGGAGAAACAAACCCACTATTTTTTGAAGGGGGATAACTAAAACAAACATCGATCCTAAGAACTTGTCACTCCCAAGAATCGCCAACTTTGCAGAGGCCCATTCTAAAACAGTGGCTGCTGCATCACCTGGACCGCCTTCGCTCAACATGTCGGTCTAGTTCTTCAACACCTTCCTTGCCATCTTTCTTTATTTTTCTAGGCCGGGTTTTAATCTGCTGATCAATATTCTTCTGAACTGGAACTGGGATTCTCGGAAACAAAGTAGAAAACCACTCCAGTTTTGTGAGAAAGGAGCGAAGCATCTCTCCAATGGTCATTACACAGCCTCCGCCAGCTTTCACATCCAGGTCCTATGAGACATAAAAGATACCCTACTGGTTAAACAAAAAACACATTATCTCAACACATACGTGAACACTAAAAAAAAAAAATTTTTTTTTTAACCATCTTTGGAATCAAGTATAAAAAACTAACAGAAAAATTTCCATTTTTGTATCCTAATCTGGTAATGAATGAAGACTATTTGGGCTAATTGTATACATGCAGGTGAGAACAAACCCTGCAGCCTCTTGGGCATAAAGGGAACTGACTCACTCATTAACAAAAGTATGAAAAAGCCCCTTACATTGTTAAACTATGTGGAACAAGTATTTAAATCTGTACTCCACATACCTACACTGGAGGACCATTTGCACACATCAGACCTAGCACCGAAACCTGGCTATGTAGGAACTACTTTCAGATAATGCCTGTCTAAAGGTTATCTTTTAACAGCTGCGATCTAAAATGGAGCCCTGCTAAAACTGGAAGCAATAGCAAACCAACTGCCATGAAGCAGTGAGGTTTCTAAAGTTATGTACAAAAGAAATAAATGAACAAAGAATTGGAAACGCATAATCCATGATGACCATTGTCTCTGAAAAGGGTCATTACCGCATGAAGGCCTTCTTGCTATGCCCTCTCACAGCTCAGGACATGTTAGTCAGCTATTGTCAGTCCCAAACCTATAGTGCAAGCACACAAGGAAAGTGAGATTTGTTATCTAAACAGGAAAACAAGAGCTAAAGGTAAAACTGCTTGCACTCACACACATTTAAGTGTTCAGATATACAGTATTTCCAAATATAATCGCTGCAGATATCTAAAGAAGAAAACATATGTTAGCTCAAATAGAGGACCTCAGGCTTGTAAATACAATAAAGAGCAGATAAATCAGAAGCATTCAGAAACCTAATACAACAATTTTAAAAAGTGCTTTAATCTTTCTTTTAAAAAAAAAAACTTATGTAAATAGAAGAAAAAATTGACAATCATGATTTTTTACCTAACTTTCTGGATCTTTTGAATTAAATAGACAGCTCGGTAAACAGGCCCAAAACAGGGAAGGAAAATAACCACTGCTGGGCTTGACAGGCATGCTTGTAACCCCAGCAGCAGGGAATGAGACAGGATCTGCAGTAGTGGATAGAGGCCTTCCTTTCTCAGCTAGTCTGAGGCTAATCCAAGTTACATAAGACCTTGTCTCAAAAAAGTTTTTTCTCTATGTCTACATCAATGAGATTTTTTTTTTAAGGAAGGCATCTAACAAAAATGAAATTTTCATTAGAAGCATGAATTCATCAAAAAACAACAAAATTCTTTTAAGACAAGGCCTCACCCTTGGTGGCCTGGAATTGACTGCAGACCAGTCTAGTCTGAACTCAGCAATCCACCTGCCTCTGCCTAAGTGCTGGGATTAAAGGTGTGCCACACTAAGCATCAAACCAGTTTAAGTAGCTGTTAACCATACCATATCAACTGTGAAACAAATAGTGATAAAAAGTAGATATACCAATAACCATTGCTCACAGCTGAATGTATGCTGATACTCTCGTCTTCAATATCTAAGTCAATTAATACAGGTATGATTTTAATCTGACTCTAGCCTTGCTCATTATGTCCCAGGGCTTGAGATGGTGACCAGATTGACTAAAGTGCTAATCTAATTTAAGGAAAAGCAATGGTTGGGTTTTTTGGGGGGGGTGGGTTGGGGACGGCAGTGTTGGGGATCAAGCCCAGAGCCATGCACATATGAGTAGAGATGAGTAGTAAGTTTTTCAATCTTAAGCCTGGTCTCTACTGTATGGTATACTGTGTGAGAAAGCTAGACTCAGGCAGGCAAGGTGGTAAATGCCTGTTGGTAATCCTAGCTAATCAGGAGGCCAAAGCGGGGAGATTACAGGTTTACAGTTGTCCTGAGTATCTGGCTCAAAAGGAAAATGGAAAAGAAGTATAATTATTTCCTCACCTTGGAAAAAAAGTGTAATTGTCAGGCCATTTAAGCCAATCTTAACTCTTTCTAAGTCTGTACTCATAAGCAAATATGAATGGTGCTGTTTGAGAAAAGTCACAGTAAACAACCAAAGGTCCAGGGGACTTATCATGCCTACAGGTACGGCAGCACATGTCTTCTACCACCTTAGAAAGCCACTATCAGCTGTCCAAGTTAGGATCAACACAATACAGTCTAATTGGGAAGAGAAAAGGTTATTATTCAAGTTATTAAAACATACTAACTCTGAAAACATATTCAAATAACTTAAAATTTTAACCTAACATGGAAAAGTCATCAAGTCTTAGCTAGAGGACAACAATCCCAAAAGTAGGACTGAAATAAATTTACAAAAATTCTGAGGTCAGTAAACTTTAACAAATAAAAGATCAAGAGCAGAATAGCCGAAGAAAGCCGATTCCCCTTGCTGACATACCTCCTCATCATCAAGGAACGGCTCAAACCAGTCCCACAGGTCTGTAGGGGGTTGTGTATACCTAAGATCATGGAAAACCTGTTAGTTTATGGGAATTAAAATAAAATGTTTATTTAAAAATTAAGATAAATGCACATGTACCTTATATACATAAATCCAAGGGCTCTGATATATGTAGAGTCTGTATGTGTTATGAGACCCATCACTTGTTTTCGAGTTAACTTCAGAGTAAATAATTTGTATAACAGGCAAAAAGCTGTAGAAACAATGCCTCCTGTTCCAACACCACGAACCTTTAAAGGAAAACAGAGTTAATAAAAAATAATAAACAGATCCTTAATGCCTACTGATTGGTGCTGTTTTAGGTATCAATAACCATGATCTAGAATTAAAAATAGAGCATAAAACTAATAACTCTCCTAACCTAATTCATTAGAAACTTGTATTTTGCATTTTCGAAAAAAACTGGAAAAAAATGCACGTACTTCTACTTACCCCTCCGCACATCCCCGTCTGGCCAGCTGTTTTCCTGCTTCCTTTCTCCCATGGCTCCACATGTGTGACCTGAAAATAAAAAAGAGGAAGACAACAAACATTCGTACTCTTCAGAGTCTGAGTTCACAAGCTCAGCTCACAAGAGCAATTCTGCCCAAGTGTCGTGTGGCTGTAGTGTGTCATCCACACCACCCTGCACTCACACTAAGTATAGAAATCACCTTCGGGAAAACTGCTCAGACAGAACACTACCAAATTGTGTGACTTAACAAAACAAACCCCTGGCAGACAGCTCATTAAACTAGCTTTATAGACAGGTCATATCTATGTGGAGGTCACGAAATTTCTATAATTTCCTACATTTGCAAAAATTATTTGGTACTATTTTATCTTTTATATAATTAAAAAAAGTTCTCATTATAAGGAAAAAAGCTTTTGCAGTCTTATGGTGAATTTAAATCCATATAATAAAGTGAAGTTTTCTAGGGCTTCTGGTGTTGCTCAGAAGGTAAGGTGCTTGCTTAGGGCCTGGGGTTGTGGGCTAGGGAGGTGGGTGTGAGATGGGGTCTCACTCTGTAGCCTTGGCAGGCCTGGATCTCACTACTTAGATCAGGTTGGCTCAGAACTTTAGAGAACCTCCTGCCTCTGCCTCTCAAGTGTTTGGATTACTACCACACTTAGCTTGGGACGTTTTATTTCTAGTTTTTTATCTGGATCAAGTTCATTCTTAGTTAAAGATTAAAATCACAAAGCCACAAGATCCTTCAGCCTAGATACAAACCCAGAGTATAAACTGTCAAAAGCTAAACGTGACATTATTAATATATATACCAAATATAATCAATAGTACAGCACCACCTTTGCTAAAGGGAACACCCTACAAAAACAGCTTTACCTAAAAACTAACAAAAGCACCAGACAGCAGTGGTGCACACCTTTAATCCCAGCCCTGGGGAGGGAGAGGTAGGTGGATCTCTGCGAGTTCGAGGCCAGCTTGGTCTACAGAGTGAGTTCCAAGATGACCAGAACTACACAGAGAAACCTTGTCTTGAAAAACCAAAAAAGTGCAAAAAGTTAAGGCTGAAAGAGACAAGCCAAAAATATTAGATCTGTTTTTGTTTCTTAAAACAAATAAACCCTGTTCTTTATTCTCAAAGTTTTTCTTTCTGCCCATACATGGTAACATTTCATTTCAGTGGTTTTATACAAAACAAAAAACAAACAAAAAACCCTACATTTAAATCAAAGCACACAAAAAAACCCCACATTAAATTGAAGCTGTTCTGCCCAGCTCCTACAGTTCTTTCCAGTTCCCAACATACAGTGTAAGTCATGCCCCACACAGCTCCCAGTGCTGGGGGCTGAACCTAGGGCCTTGTCCATGTAAGTCCAGTACCAGTTTGAATTGAATCACAATCCGTTTCTATTCCTCAGAGTACCCAAAGGAGTGGATACAATGCAAACTGGAAGCCTATAGATTTCAAAGATTATTTGATCCAAAGAAATTCATAGTAAGTTTAGGTCATGTTTTATGATTTTATTTTTAATTACGTGTATGTGTGAGTCTGATCCTCTGGAATTGAGGTTACAGGAGGTTGTGACCTGCCCAATGTGGATAATGGGAACTGAACTTAGGTCCTCTGCAAAGGCAATAATATGTTCTTAATCCACGGGGCATCTCTTCAACACCTGAAACTTGCGTTTTAAAAATGAATTTAAACATCCTTTCTGGTGGAAAAAGTGGTTTCAAAATACAATATTTGAAATGAACTTGAAATATTAGCCTATATTTTAAAGCAACCTGTCACAAAAGCACAGGGACCCAGTTTTCAAAGTTAACTGCATAAACTTATTGTTCATCATACTATATCCACATTGAAAAGGTCTTACCTTTTAAATGCTAGTTTTAAAAATATCTACTCCACAGTATCAGTTACACCTACTTAACAAGCTTTTGTAAAAGAACACCAAGAGTACTCCTATACTCTATCCAGTTAAAAGGTTTTGCTATAAAAAGCAATTAGTATCTCAAAAATCTCTCATTTACCTAAGCATGTAACTGGGAGAAACGTAGGTAAATAAAATACATAGAGAATTTCTTTTTGTCAACATCTCCACATGTATATTTAGACGACAGAAAATATTGTCTCAAATTTCTAAGTATCAAGACAAGAAAATTAGATGCATTTTATTTTACATGCTCTAGCGAAAATGCTTAAAAGACATTAAGACTATTAATACTCATTAAAATATAAATTAACTTCGGAGGCCTGGAAGGTATTTTTTGAACTACCTAATTTGCAAGAAGTGGAGAATCTAGTTAGGAAGACCAAAATCAATGGCCCAAAAACAAACAAAAAACTAATTAGCCATTCATTTAACCAGGGAAATGCATTTATGGCGATTGAGCATGATTAATAGTGCATACCTCTACCTGCGACCCTGGGCTGCTCCGAGCCTCGCTGCAAGACTGAGTCAATCCTGCTAACGAAACAAGAACTGAGACAAGAGTGCAGTGAGGAGGCGCCAGGTGAGCTCCCCAGCACAGCCAAGCCAGCACCGACCCTGCCGCAGAAGCCCAGGGCCCAGATAATTCTAATTATGCCCAACGCACAGGTGGCTGAGACCTCCGACTCCTGACTTCCTGTTGGGAAAATTTCCAGGCCTTCTGTACACCTACCTCTCTGCACTGGCACACCACGCCACCCTCAACCCTCCCGGCCCGCCCGACACACTCACACTAACCAACTTCTGTCTGGATTGGAGAGTTAACGAAGAACACGAGGCCGACATTCAAGTAATTACTTCAGTAATTCCGCTGGCCCGAGGGGCCGCAGAAGCACCCCCGAGTGAGTGCTTAGTCGACACGGGTTTAAAAAAAAAAAAAGAGTCATTTTTAAAATGGTCAACTTGGACGGGCTTCTGGTATTACTTTCCTCCTCTCCCTTAGCCCTCTTGCCCAACAGCTCCCCGGGGAGGCTGGGGTAGGTTAAAGATCGATTGTGGCGGGCTCGCCCGGCTCTTAAAAAAAACACACACACACACAACCTGAAAAGGAAAAAAACAAAACAGGGCGGCCCTACCCCGACCCGACCCGTCCCACACCAGCCGTGCGCCGCGCTTTCTCCCTCGGCCAACTTTCTCCCCCCCTCCCCCAAATCCTCAGGTCTCGGCGGGGAGGAGGAGGGAGGGGGGGGACGCTCCCACCGATTTCCGACAAGACCCGCTCTTGGCGAACTTACCCCCGTGCCGAGGCCCAGAGGATGCGTACCTTAAAGAAGATCTCGTCCACCACCGCGTGGTAGGTCTTGAGCTCGTAGAGCTGCACTTTGAAGTAAGGCGACGACAGGATGTTGGTGAGGATCATGGGGTTGAGGTTCATGGTCTTCTCGTTGCCCCACAGCGGCAGCACGTTGCCCTGCTTGCCCGACACCGCCGGCCTGGTGGCGCCGCCGCCGCCGCCGCACGGCTGCTGCTGCTGCTGCTGGGCCACGGCCGCGGCCGCCTGGTGCTGCGGCTGCGAGTTGCCGGTCAGCGCGGGGCTGTTGTTGGCCATGTTGCCGCGGCAGGAAGGAGGGCGGGCGGGCGGGAGGAGGAGGAGGAGGAGGGGGCCAAGCTCGATCGCGCTCTTCGGGACAACGGTCCCGGACCTACTCCATGGAAGGCCGTCGGGGCAGGGAGCCCGCCGCGCTTGTGCCCCAGCCGGGCGAGGGGACTGCCACTGAGACGCCGACACACGGACCCCGGGCCCCGGGGGCGGACACCAGACGCCGGCGGCGGCGGCGGCGAGAACTCTCCGGGCGCAAGGCAGCGAGAGCGGGCGGCCGAGGAGCGCGGTCTCTTCCGCCAACTGCCCCTGGGAACAAGATGGCGGGCCCAGCGGAAGTGACGCCACACGCCCGGACGTTCGCGCTAAGCTCGTGGCCAATCAGAGCCGCCCGGGTGGGCAGGCGGTTCCTCTTCCGGCTTTGCGCGAGGTCGCTGCGTGCTGGGTCCGCTGCGGCGGTCCGTGGGCTACGCCGGTCGGTTTCTCCTGGGAGTTTGGCCCTCGGGGCAGGGTGTGTAGACCCAATCGCTGTGTGTTAAGAGTTTTTTTTTTCCCGGTGGTTTGATTTTTCTAGAAGCAGGGAGGAGGGTCTCGTGACCCTTACGTACTTGGCGAGTGCGTGACTCTTGACTCGTAGGGAGCATCCGAGGTCTCGAGAGTTAGTTTTGTTAAGGTTCTCCAGAAAGGACTAGAGTCAGAGAATCCCACTTCTCTGTATGACTCCAATAAAGAGTCATTGAGGCTTTCTTAGAGGTGTGTCCGACTGGAAGTCATAGACAGCCCCAATTTATCCACCTAAGATTGGGATAACATTTTAACTGGGCTGTGAGCATTAAAGAAAGTACTCTCGCCGGGCGGTGGTGGCGCACGCCTTTAATCCCAGCACTTGGGAGGCAGAGCCAGGCGGATCTCTGTGAGTTCGAGGCTAGCCTGGGCTATCAAGTGAGCTCCAGGAAAGGCGCAAAACTACGCAGAGAAACCCTGTCTCGAAAAAGAAGAAAAAAAGAAAGAAAAAAAAAAAAAGAAAGTACTCTCAGCTGGGCGTGGTGGCGCCCGCGTTAATCCCAGCGCTGGGGGACAAGGGGCAGGCGATCTCTGAGTCCGAAGGCACCTGATCTACATAGTGAGTTCCAGACCAGCTAAGGCTCCATAGAGAGACCCAGTCTCAAAAGAACAAAAACCAGAAAAAGCTGCTACCCTACCTGGACTGCTTTCATAAAATCAAATCTATCTTTTATACTTTTTAGATAGGGTCACACTATAGTGGAGACTAGGAAGTAACCCAAGCTGGCCTCAAACTCAGGAAGCTCCTCCTGCCTCAGCCTTCGAAATAGTGGGATTTCAGTCGTGAGCCACCACATGTAGTGAGATCGTTATATGGTACAGCTGCACTGGGCTAAGCACCAGGTAAGGGAGTGGAGAGTGGTGGGGATGGTGAAAAGGTGTAAAGGAATCACGGGGGTCAGTTCCCAAAGGCTACCGACAACTTCAGATTAATGCAGTTTGAGAGTTAAGGCGATAGAGCTTGACGTATCTTAGATGGAAAAGGGGTGGGCATTTCATTGGCAGAGAATAGCCTAAGCATAGAAGCCAAAATTAGGCTTATTAGATGATAAGCAGTCCAGTTGGCAAGAGGCCAGGAGATAGGCTTCTAGGGGGAGTGGTGGCAATAAAATGCCTGTAATGTCAGAATGGAACATTAAGAATTTAATTACACTTAAACCAGATGTTACCCGACATCCTTACAGCTTGTGTGTCATGTTTAAATCAGGCTAGGCTTGATTTTGGTGGCCACATCTGTAATGCCAGCATTTGGGAATCTGAGGCAAGACAGTCAAGAGGCCAAGACTAGTCTGGGCTAGATAATAACAACCTGACTTTAAAAAGAAAAGGTCAGGCTGTTGGTGGTGTAGTTCAGTAATAGAATACATGCTTAGTACATGCAAAGTCAGTTTAATACCAACATATATGCACACTTAGGTATGCACACATTGGGGCAGGGGATGTACCTCAGAGGTAGAGCCTTTGTTTAGCAAGCAAGAGTTTTAGCCCCACCACTGGAAAAAGAAAATAGTTCACATATATAATTGTATCTATGAATGTCTATTTAATGTCTACTTTGTATTACTAGTGCCAATATTTCTGGCTTCAGTCCATTTTTCAGAGATTGCCAGAATAATTCCCTCAGGGCACCTCTGCTCCTGGCTGCCATCAGGTGAGCAGTGTCCTGAGCGAGTGCAATCCAAATCACCAAAATCCAATGACATTTTTCACCCTATTTAATTTCTGGCCGTGTTGCATCTTATCATTTATTCTTTTCTGGAAGCTTTTGGGTCAGGAAGTTGCAAGGTGGAAGATCTTAGTTTCAGCAGCACATACACAGAGAGGCAGGAATGGAAGACAGGATGCTGGGGGAATGAGCAATGAGTAGAAACCAATTGCTCCCGAAACTGAATCCTCAGAGGGAAATCCAGGCAGTTCCGTATGCAGTCTTGACTTGCAAGTCAGCATTTTGCAAGTGACTAAATGACATATGTCACTTTGGGTTCTATGAGGGGAGTAATAATAAGAGAGTACACCACTAAGACCTCGATTCCTCTGCACCAAGGAGGAGTTCCAGCAGGGTATATGTGGTAAAAATGAACTTTCTGATTTTTTTGCCAGTTGGCAGCTTCCTCTTCTTCCTGTTCTTCTTCTTTTGGTTTTCTAAGACAGGGTTTCTCTGTGTAGGTCTGGCTGTCCTGGAACTCAAATCTGTAGCCCACGCTGGCCTCAAACTCATGAGATCTGCCTGCCACTGCCTCCTGAGTGCTGATTTAAAGGCATGTACCACCACCACCCGGCACCAGCTGGCTTCTTTTATATGTCAATTCATTATCATTATATATTTTGAGACAAGGTTTTTCTGTGTAGTCCAGTTGTCCTAGAACTTGATGTGTAGGCCAGGCTGATCTTGAACTCACAACAGATCTACCTTCCTCTGCTGGGATTAAAGGTGTGTGCTACCGAGGACCAGTGTTAATCCTCTTTTTAAAAGATGTTACCAGCTGGCCGGTGGGGACACAGGCCTTTAATCCCAGCACTTGGGAGGCAGAGGCAGGTGGATCTCTGAGTTCAAGTCCAGCCTAGTCTACAGTGAGTTCCAGGATGGCCAGAGCTATACAGAGAAACTCTGTCATGAAGAAAAACAAAACAAACAAAAGGAGATGTTCTTATTTTTATCTTTTTAAGTTTATATGTATGTGTTGAGTGTATGCCACATATGTGTGGGTGCCCTCAGAGGCCAGAAGAGGATTCAGTTCTGAAGCTGGAGTATATGGGTGCTGGGAATTGAACTGGAGTCCTCCGGAAGAGTAGCAAGTACTTTTAACTGCCGAGCCATTTCACAAGCCCCTCATGAGCTCCCTTCTAAGTTCATCTTGATGTCACTTTCTGTAGTCTGTTCTGCACCCTGAGGCACAACATGATCAGGGAGCCTGTCACAGAGGTGCTTATTCACTTGACGTCATGCAGAAAGCAAAGAGAGACAGGAAAGGGTAAAGACAAGAGAAAATTCTCAAAAACATGCCTTTGGGACCTCGCTCCTCCAACCAGCCCACCTCTGAACATTTCTAATAGTCCATTCAAATTATGAGTCCTTCAGTGGGTTCAGGTGTGTCCAAACTGCAGCCCACCTATTTCATAAACTTATTTAAAATATAAGGTTATTTCTCAGTTCTAAAAAGAGTTCATTTGCTTGGATCTGCGGCATGAACTTTGTGTCGGTAGTCAGGGGAAAGAGACAGCTGTGCACTCCTGTGCTCTTTCCCCTGCCCGAGCAGTTCCCCTGAAGCTTTTTATGGACCTTGACGAACCAGGCCAAACATCATGACCTTGACGCTGGAAAGACTTTCAGGGCTAGCTGATGTAGTGAAGCCAAGTTGGGAGTTTTACTAAAGATATATTAATGTAGGTTTAAGCATGACAAAAAAAAAAAAAAAAAAAAAAAAAAAAGAAGAAATCAAACACATCAGAGAGTACATGTTTGGGCCTC